CCCAATTCAGCCAAACGGCTTACATTCATGCGCAACTAGCATTTAATCATTAATCATTGCAAATTTCATATTTATTTAGGTCGAATGCGATAAAGTACACACTCACCTAGAAAACTCATTTTAACAATCATTGAAAGCACTTAACATATTATCAATCAATAATAACAAGCCAATAAATCAAGTGATATAGCAAACAAGGAACACTCATATGCAAGCAGGCATGATATGCAAGAAAACAGTTCAAAAGTAACATTGGAAACAGTTTAAAGGTAAATAATGCAAAAAAAACGGTTCATAAATAACTTTAGAAATAGTTTGAGGTCACTCACCTCTATGGCTCAGAAATCATCCATCATATAACATTGCCTTGCTCAAATCCAAGTCTTAAATCACAAACTCAATGCAAACAAATCCTTTAAAAGTTCGGACAGCACTTCCCCTAAATTTGCTTACTTTTCCAGCCGCCATGGCTTCATGATTTCCTCATTCCAACCTAAAGGTACACACACAACAACAAATTCATCCAATAGCCATTCAGCAAACTCCAAGTAGTACTAGTACAAGTCAAACTAGGGAAAAGTTTGGAAATGAAAGTTAAGCTCAAAACCAGAAAAACAGGTTTTGACGTCACTTTGCGGTAATGGTACCAAAGGCACTACGATTGTCGGATGAAGGTGCAAGACCCACCGTTTCGAAACTAAGAGATAGGGTTACAATATTGCAGAAGGTCACTCAACCCAGTTTCGAGTGTAACCAGGTCAAAAACACAAGAAACTACACCAGAATCACAAAAACAGCTTCACAGAACGCATTCTAGCGGAAACATCATAACTCAGGCTCTCCAAGTCCAAATCCAGAAATTCCAAAACCAGCTGATAGCTAAGAAACCGGGCTAAATTTCATTAGAAGGCCTCAACAACCAATTCGGAAGCAATTCCAGCCAAAACAACCAATTACAGTCGCAAATCCCAATTTCGGGTAAACCAGAACAGCAATAGTAATTTCGACTTTTCTCACTGTACACTACTCCGATTGACTTGAAATTTTGTAGGCACCTCTAAAATGACATTCCCTACAACTTTCATGTTTTAAGCAAAGGCCAATTCGGGCTCTAACTAGGAGCTATAAATTCGGACAGAATGAAGAACATTGAAACCTAGTTTTCCACTTTTCCTTCCAAAACAGAAATTGATTGCAATTAATCACTTTTTCCACCTCCTAGCTTCCTCAACTATCATCTCCAATCATCATACATAACCACATAATAACAATCATATGAGAACAGAAAAATCCTAATTAAATATAAAACTTCACTAATTTCAACCAAAATCATGAAATCATCCATAAAATCACTTATTCAACCACCACCAATCACTAATTGAACATTATCAAGATCAAAGGAAAGGTTCCTTAGTCACTTACCATGCAAACCCAAGGAAAGACCCAACTTAGCACCTTTGCTTCTCAAACCACTTCACCACACACCTTAATACCACCAAGAGAAAGGTTTTTATGGAGCAAATCACGGTTTTAATGGTTGGTTTGTGAGATTGGGCAAGAAATAGAAGGAAGAAATTGGAAGCTTTTCTCTCTTTTTGTCTCCAAGAGGTTCGGCCATGGAGCTTATGAAGAAGATGAATTTTGGGTCAAGTTTTTAATCAATTAGTAAAGGTAGTAAAATGGTCAAAGTCCACCCTTGCGTAAGAAAGTGACACTTGTCACCTTTAGGTTTAAAACTTATCTTTTTGTCTCTCCAATACAAATATCTTAACACCTTGTAAAATAATATCACTTAATACAAAATTCCAACAAGTTGTCAAAAATATAATGCATTTACCGCACTTGCGGGTCCCACGTTCAAAATACGCTCTTAATTTCTCAAAAACTAACCGATACTAGAAAAATCATTTTAAAACTATCTTTGCTCATAAACTTTATCTGGGAAATTTTTCTAATCAAGAAAATGTAGAAAAAACGGGCGATTAAAAAAAATAAACCCTAGAAAATTAGAAAATTTCCGGGTTCTCAAACTCATTCTTTTCGGGGCGTCACATGTTGACCCCAACTACCCTCAAAATCTAGAATACAAGTGCGTAACATATCCTCAAGGGTCTGAATTGTCCGCTCCGACTGTCCATCCGTCCGAGGATGATAAGTGGTGCTTAAATTCAGCTTCATCCCTAAAGTTTCCTGAAACTTTTGCCAAAATCTTGACACAAAATGAGGGTCTCGGTCGGAAACTATACTCACGGGCACTCCATGTAATCTCACAATCTCCTTCAAATATACTCGAGCTAACTTATCCAAGAAATACTTCATATTCACAGGTAAGAAATGACCCGATTTGGTCAACCGATCAACGATTACCCAAACGGCATCATGTCCTTTTTGGGTTCTAGGTAGTCCAGAAACGAAGTCCATGGTGATATGCTCTCACTTCCATTCGGGTATCTCCAGAGGCTGAAGTAGTCCCGAAGGATTTTGGTGTTCGGCCTTAACTTGCTGGGATACTAGACAGGTTTGTACATATTAGGCTATCTCCCTCTTCATCTTGTCCCACCAGTACAATTGTCGCAAGTTCTAATACATCTTATTACTACCCGGATGGATTGTATATTTAGATCGATGAGCTTCCTCCAAAATTTTTCTTCTCAGGTTTTCATCATTAGGCACCACTATTCGATTCTGAAATCTCAAAATCCCTTCAGAACTTAAATTGAAATCCGAAATTTCTCCTTTTTTTCACCTTTTCCACCCATTTCTGAATCATCGAATCCTCCGCTTGAGCCTCTTTAATTCGATCCAATAGTGTGGATGTCACACGGACATTTTCAAAAGTTATCTTCTTATGTTCCAATCTTGGATTCCACTCCCCAACTGTTCCCAACAATTCCCACTCCTTCACCATTAACCCAGAAATCCGAGCCTTCCGACTTTAGACATCAGCTACAACATTAGCCTTACCTGGATGATAGTTAATAGTACAATCATAATCTTCTAAGAATTCCATCCACCGGCGTTGTCTCATGTTCAACTCCTTCTGGAAAAAAAGATATTTAAGACTCTTATGATCGGAATAGACCTCAAAGGTCACCCCGTACAAATAGTGTCTCCACTTTTTCAGAGCAAAGACAACTGCCGCCAGCTCTAATTCATGGGTGGGATAGTTTTGTTCATGGATTTTCAATTTTCTAGAAGCATAGGCTATCACATTCTGGTGTTGCATCAGTACGCATCCCAAACCTTCTCTAGAGACGTCGGTGTAAATAGTAAAACTGTCCTTACCGTTAGGCAAGGCCAGGATAGGGGCCATGGTTAACCTCCGCTTCAACTCTTAAAAGCTGTTCTCACACTTATCACTCCACAGAAACCGACCACTCTTCTTCGTTAAATCAGTTAAGGGACTGGCTAGTTTTGAAAAATCTTTGATAAATCACCGATAATAACCTGCCAACCCTAGAAAACTCCGGATTTCAGTAGGATTGTCGGGTCTCTTCCACTCAGTCACTGCCTCTACCTTGGTCGGATCTACAACAATTCTTTTCTTTGAAATCACGTGCCCCAGGAAAGAAACCTTCTGTTGCCAAAACTCGCACTTACTAAATTTGGCGTACAACTGGTGCTCCCTCAAGGTTTGTAAGACCTCTTTCAAACGTTGCACATGCTCCTCACGGGTTTTTGAATAAACCAAAATGTCATTGATAAAGACAACGACAAATCGGTCCAGATAGGGTTTGAAAATCCGATGCATAAGGTCCATAAAAGAGGCAGGGGCATTGGTTAGTCCAAAAGGCATCACGATGAATTCGTAATGCCCATACCGAGAATTGAAGGCAGTTTTAGGCACATCTTCTTTCCTAATCAACAATTGATAGTATCCCTGTCGAAAATCTAACTTAGAAAATACCACCGCACCTTGCAACTGGTCAAATAACTCATCAATGTGGGGCAATAGATACTTATTCTTAATGGTCACGTTGTTCAACCCTCGGTAATCGATACACAGTCTCAAGGTCCCGTCCTTCTTCTTAACAAAGAGAACAGGTGCCCCCCAAGGTAATCCACTCTCATGAATAAAACCTTGCTCTAAAAGGTCTTGCAACTGCAACTTTAACTCTTTGAGTTCAGCAGGTGCCATTCGGTAGGGAGTCTTGGAAATAGGGGAAGCCCCCAGTAATAGGTTAATTTCAAACTCAATCTCTCTTTCCGGAAGTAAATTCACTAACTTATCGAGAAATACGTCTGGATATTCACTCACTACGGAAACATCTTCTATTTTTAGTTTATCGGTAGGAGTGTTAATGAAAAAAACTAGGAACCCTTGTGCCCCTCTACTCAGTAGTTTCCTAGCCTGAATTCTCGAAATCATAGCAGATGAGGCTAGACTACCCCTCACATCTAATCTCAAAGTTGCCTCCCCAGGGATACGAAATTCTACAATTTTTCTCTTACAATCTAATTGGGCATCATATCGAGCCAACCAATCCATGCCCAATATCACATCGTACCCCTTAATGGCCAAACTTATCAAATTCCCCAACAACTTTCTCTCTCATATCCAGATTTCATAATTTGTATACATTTTGTTAGAAATCAAACATTGGTCCCCCGTAGGGGTACTAACTTCCAGCTCATAGGGGAGAGTGACAGGGTGTATATCGATTCAACACATAAACTCAGGGTTAACGAAGGAATGGGTGGCACCAGAGTCTATCAAAATTCTAGTTAGGCGGTGGAAGACAGGGATCGTACCTTTCCCCACCTCTGCAGAGTCAGGAACCGGATGGTGCTCGATGGAGTATATTCAAGCAGGCACCTTCGGTTTCGCTCCTTCTACCCGTGACTGGCTTGAGGCAGCCTTCGACGACTGAATAGTTCCTCTCGCTTCCCGAGACTGGACTAGACAGCTAGCGAGCCGGTGCTCCGTACTCCCACAGCGTAAGCACTTGTTCTGCTTCCTCCAACAGTCATCCTCCATGTGGTTTGGTTTCCCACAGAAGCTACACGGTCCATGAGAAACGGTGGCTGAACTCCCTTGCGAGGCGTTCCTCTGCTGGCCTCGTCCTTTCAAATTTGAGAGGGGTTCTTTTATCCCCTTGAGTTGAGCTACTCCCAGAAGCTCCACGTTTTCTATTTTGGAAGCTCCTTACTTGAAGCCTGGCATTCTTAGATCGTAAGACTTTCTCAACTGCATCACTAAAGGTGGTAATTTGGGTCACGGCTAAGCCCTTTTGAATTTCTACGTTAAGCCCCTGAAGGAAACGTCTCGCCCTACTTTGTTCGGTTAGAATGAGTTCAGGAGCGAATTTAGACAAACGGGTAAACTGGCTCTCGTATTCAGCCACAGATTGGGTGCCTTGGCGAAGTCGGATGAACTCGTTTTCCTTCTTCTCTTGGACCAATGGCGGAAAGTACTTGGCATTAAACTCCCTTACGAAATTCACCCACGTTCTTGGTGTCTGTTCTCGCTCCCATTTCATCCGGATAATATTCCACCAAGAGCAAGCGGCCCCTTCTAATTGAAAGACCGCAAAAGTAACATGCCTCTCCTCCGAGTAATATAGAGCGGCAAAAATGTCTATCATCTTTTCTAACCACTGTTCGGCCACGTCCAGATCGGGCCCTCCAAGAAACTTTGGTGGAGAGAATTTTTGAAACCGTTTGAGAGCTCGATCCTCCCTCTCAACATGATTTCCAAGGTTTCCAGGGTTACCAACTGGTGGAACAGGGTTGGGGCCCTCCTGTTGCACCACCTGGGCTAAGAGATCAGTCATCCGCTGGATAGCAGCGGTTACCTGAATGTTGGGATCAATTTGGGGTTCAGAATTTGGTTCGGGCATAGTGGTCCCCGTATCCTATTCAGTCGTGGGCTGTCTACCCCCACGTCCTCGGCCTCGGCCACTACACGTGCCTTCCATCGATCTAAGTCAATCTAAGGTCGAGGCACAAAGATAATATTAAAAGTGCATACAAACATAGTCATATAAGCATGAACAAAGAACGAAAATAAACATCACATAAGGCATGTATCCACATAGAGCAGTTATACATAGAACACATAACTGTGTCAAATAGTCATACATGAGCAGTCAAGCAAATATATACAAAAGTACTCCCATGAAGCCAAAAGAGGGTCTTCCAAAATACACTATACAAATTAGGTCCCAAAAGTACCACACAACAAACCTGTCGCGCCCCATTTTTTGATAAATAAATAAATGGTTTAAAAATGTATTTTTTGATTCAATTTGTGATTGGAAAATGAATTGTGATTTAAAAGAAAAATGGGTCTAAATGGGGGTTTGAGAATGTGACGATTTGACCCAAAATTATAGTTTAAAAAGGGTTTTTCAAATAAAAAATCGGAGTCGCCACTTGGTAATGAGTTAAGGTGTACCAAGTCACCTAAAAATGAATTTTTAAAGAAAAAATAGGAAAAAGTAGTAAAAAACCCCTTTTAAACGACTCCTAATCCACGTAAACCGACGAAAAAGGTTCGGGAGTCACATTTGACGAAGGGGAAGGCAAGGATAAAATCCAAGGCACCCCTTCGACCTAGCCAAGGCTAGTTGCGTGATTTAATCAAAGATTTTCTTGTTTTAACCAAAGAATTTATTACATTTGGATGTACTACATGAATGCAAACCCTAGACCTAGGGGTATTGGAGGGTAAAATTTCTCTCCAAAGTTTGAGTGATGCCAATCACATTAATTATGAAGCCCAATGATGATCCTTTGGAAAGGTCACACATAATCCTAAATGACGTAAAAATGAGTGAAATGAATGCATGCCATGTGAAAGTGTGAGTTTGTGTGAAGTGAAAAAGTGATAAAAACAAAAGTGTGTAAGTGGAAGTGTGCAAATGGATGTACAAGATAAGGTGAGTAAAGTAATAATGTGAAAATGCATGTGAGATAACATAAAGTGCATGTGTGCGAGTGATATTATAAAGTGTAAGTAGTTGAATGAAAACGTGCAAAATTAAAGTAGTGTGAAGTGAGAATGTGAAAAAAGGGTTAGAATATAAAGTAGAAGTGTATGTGATAGTGAATGAGTAAAATGCAGGAATCCTATAGGAATGCATCAAGACGGGAACGGGGAGTCCTAACTTTGTGACTTTAATTTTCCCTTTGATTAGAAGGGAGAACTAGCGTGCTAAGGCTATTTTGTAGCCACACTCGCTCGTTTCCCTTATCGAAAGGGGACTCTTCAAGCAAATGTACCCTATAACTAGCATGAGGTGCAAAAATCCTAAAATGAGGGGAAAAGGGGTTCGAGGAGCATGCCAAATGATAAAACTAAGAAAAATGCATGACATGTAGTGAACATGCAAGTATGCACTAATGAAAGGGGATGGCCTATTGGGTCTAGCATTGGACTAGCCCTTTCTATGAATTCCTAACGGAATAATGAGCCGCAACTAGCATTGGACTAGTGTGGTGACGTACATTCATCCATCACATTCATTCATGGCTATGGAAAGCGAGTAGACATGCCAAACACTCATAAACACATAGCATATAATACTTAGCATGCTCGACTAGATGCAAGAACCTAATAAAGCAAGTAACACATAACAACAAAAGCAAGCAATCAAGCTAAAGGACCTATTACATTTGCTAGCTAGGCACACGTCTTCAATAGGTCTTCATCAAATGCTCCTCCAAGCCCTATCTATTACAAGCCAAGGGGTGTACACATACCCCATAAAGAATAACTTAAATAAAAGCAAAAATAAAAATGAAATAAATGAAAGGAATTAAGGAAAGGCAAGGGAAAGCAAGTAGACATGCAATTTTCACTTAGCACGTTGGATCACATAGAAGAGAAATAAAAAAGATAAAAGAAGTTATACCTCCTTTGAGTTGATGCCTTAAATAGAGTGAAATCACTTATTTATCCTCCAAAATAATAAAAGAGTCAAGGCATCACTTTAATCAAGAAATAATTACAAAAGATAGACATGAAATTAAATCAATTAAATCATGTAGACAACCCACATTTAAGAAGTCAAAAGAAGAAAGGACTTGATTGCAAAAATTAATAAAGTCTTGGGGTCAAAATTAAAGAAAAATAAAGTTCAGGGACACATTTGCAATTAAAGTAAGGACCAAATTGAAAAAAATTGAAAATATCCAGGGCCACAGTATAGTTAAGGAGAAATTCAGGGACTGATTTACAAAATCATTTTCTGGTTTGTTAATGGACCAAACCATTGGGCCATTTTTCCTTATTTGCTTGGGCCAAAACCTTCCAGGCCCAATCAGAAATCCAAAACAAAAGGGAATGGGCCATTTCCACTTTTCCTGGGCCAAGTTCCCTTGGCCCAATTGGAAGTCCAAGGAAAAACAAGTGGGCTAGTACATTATTGTGGCCCAAAAATTAGCCAACCAAAAAGATGGGCTTTGACTCTCTAGCCCAAACCAAAAAAAACAAGCAAAATAAACTAAAACAACTTTCTTAAACCCAAACACAAAATAACCTCTTGGCCCTAAACATTTATTTCATTAAACCCAACAAGATAAACAAATCAACAAAAAATATTAAGCCACAATTATGACCCACAAATCAAGAATTAATCTATTCAAAAAAATCACATAAAATATGTAAACAGAGGATTAAACTTAAAAGGGTAAAATTAGTTCAATTTTCCCAGATTTTGGGCCTCGGTGAACAAGAGGGAGACTTGAGGTATCAAAGTGTAATTTTCAGAGAGTTACTTCATACAAAGCTACGGAGAACTTCACTCATGCAATTTTTACAACTAAACACTCTTTCTGCAACTTTTCTCATGCTTTTGAACTTCAACAAATTAGCAGGGCAGATTCACAAACTTCCCAAACCAAAACCCAAGCCCAAACTATTATCAAACTCATCATTTCAAGATTCTATCATACATGCGGGAGGATGGTAGAATCAGAAATGATGAGGATTTCATGCAAACCAGAATTCAAACCAAGCTTTCTGCTAAGAAGGGTTCAGCAGCTAGGGAGGCTTTCTACAATAATTTTTCTGCGGCAAATTTTTATCAAAACTCAACTAAAATGCCTTAAACCTCTGCCGAAACTTCAAAACAAATCCACAAGATAAGGGCCTAAGATTCCAACCATAATCTTGCAATCAAGAAACAAACAAAAAAAAAAAAACTCAACATTCACAGAAAACATCTCTCCAGGTTCTCGGATGGGGCAAATGGACAGATTTTATTCAAAAGGGCAGAAATGAACAACAATGGCAAAGCTGCAAACATGTTTTACTAAAGGAAATCTGTAACAGCCCCACCTTCCCCTAAGGCGAACCAAAGGGGTTAGCGGACTGCCTGCCCAGCTCTCGCCAGGACTAACGGATCAGTTTACGTCGATCTAATACGTTCCGGAACTTACCGATGTGCGCAACCAAGTCAAAATCACAAAATAAAAGTAAAAAAAAAATGAAGAAAAATCGAAACCGATGATGAACAGTACCGGCCACGTCAGAATCCAGATACTAGGCCGAGAGTAGCCAAAATTTTTCTTTTGCCGTTTGAAATACGAGTTGATCCGAAATTCAACCAAATATCAACCAAACATACATACATTGAAATGTAACATTTTCAAGCCAAAGCGGCATATCAAACCATTCATTACGAATATACATGTTCGGTTTGCCAATCAAAAGAAAGTGAACCCAATACACATTAGGGTTTCATTCGAAGAGCTATTCAAAAGATACATTTACATGAGCTCAACTTGCTAGTACAACCTTTCCAAAAGTGATCATTTTCCTGTAAGGAAAACAAATGGAACGGAATGAGCTTAAACCCAGTGAGTTACTACCACATAAGCAACAAAGATCACATAAGCATAATCTTTCATTTCAAGTACACAATTAAGAAGTAAAACAAGTCGGTAAAAGGATACGGACGGCTCTCAAGAGCCCATTTCCACGCTTACATTCTTGATCCAATCTCATTGACTCTCCGTCAACGTTTATGAGTACCAACTGTAGACCTCACTTCACTCCATTCCTTCCACCAAACATACCCCAACCGGGCCCGCACTCCAATCAGTCATTTTGGTAATACTCGAGTATACCGGAACCAAGAGTCTCATTACTACAAGATTCCCCAGTACAGTTCCCGTGGCACGTCAATATTCACGACCAAGCTCTCGCCGGCTCGATCCAATTGACTACCTACGGGGTTGAACTCAGTAATACAGTAAGGCCGTTGGACATTCGTCCAAACGACACCAAATCAGTTTTCCATGAATGGAATTCAATATCTCATATAGCAAGTGCAGTATTTCAGTAAAACGGTAAACGGTCATGAATGGAATCACAAGGGGGTGAGGGCGGTCAAGTACACCCTCACCTCAATCATTTTCAATAGCCATATTAGCCTTCAAGGCATCAAATTCACATATAGCAAAGCCACATTGTAACATTTAAGTGAGTAGTATACTCACCAGTCAATTAAGTGCTATTTCATGCACTTCCGTCAGGAGAATGTCGTGAACCACCGTCACGCCCTAGAACACGTAAGCAAGTACAATGAGACTCGATAACGAGTCATAAAGCAATGCCAATCACAACCCCAATAGGGTTTTGCAAACATATACAAGCATTATAGCAAACCAGAAAATCAGGAAATGTAACTCATTTGACCCAACAACAAAAATAGTTTTGGCCTCCTAATGCGGTAATGGCACAAAATGCGCTACGCTTATCGGATGAGGGTGTAAAACCCACCATCTCGAAGCTAAAAGACAGGGCTACAACAATGTAGAAGGCCACTCAGTCCAAATCCTAGCACAACTAGGTCAAAAATGCAGAATACCAAACCAGAACCGTAATTTCAGG